TCGCCCGCGTTCGTGGTCGCGAGCACCGCGGCGGCGCTGTCGCGGCGCAGCGCCGGGTGCATCTCGATGGGCGGCTCCGGCGCGCCAGCAAAGGCCGAGTCGCTGTCCTCGAAGAGGTGGCTGATGTCGGCCCCGATGTGGCTCTTGAACGGGCTGCCGCTGCCGTCGCCGGTGTTGTTGTTGCTGCCGCCGCCGCCACCGGGGGAGCTGATCGTCTGGCCGTCGCTGACGCTGTTGTTATTGTTGTTGTTATTGTTGCTGTTGTTGGCGTCGTCGCCGTTCTTCGGCGCTCGCAGGCAGGCGCAGGTCCAGCAGCCGTTCTGGCTTGAGAAGAACCACTTCAGGTTCCCCGGCAGCCTCTTCCACGAGGCCTTGCTGAAGCAGCCGCCGACGCAGCGACCCGCAGACTTGATGCGGGCGCCGAGGCAGCGGAACTTGCGCCGGTAGGTGGCGCAGAGCTCGCCGCGCACGGCCAGGCGGACGCTGTAGGCGGCGAAGCAGACCAGGAACAGGCCCGTCAGGACGGCGCCCAGGATCCCCAGCGTGAGGTTGATGGTCTGGTGGGTCTTTGCGCCCTTCGCGTCGCCGGCGTTGGTCATGGGGTGGTAGGTGACGGGGGTGCTGGCGGCGCCCCTCTGCTCGTCCACAGCGGTGCCGCCGGCCTCGGAGCGTCCGCACAGGGCATCGGCGAGCTTGTGAAGATACCGGAACCCCAGGCGACCATCACCGGCGGCGGCGTTGGCCATGCTGACTCGGTAAAAGGGAGCCATGATCGCTGTTCGAGGTGGCCACCACCTATCCAGAGTAGGATGTGGCCGATGTTCCCTTGTTCAGAAGAGACCCCTTCCCGCAGGACGCTGCTGCCAGATAAGTAGACTAAAAGGTCGAGAGGAAGGGCATAAAGCCCGGCCAGTCCTTGATCCGTCTTAAGCCAGATTTTGAGCAAACTCACCCAATTCCGCGTGGCGCGAGACATGTCATAGAGGCAGTTAACATGTCTGTGGCTTTCTTTAGGCCGACGTGTAACGGCGGTTGAGGCAAAGCCAGCCTGTCGGACAGCAGAAACCCGACGCCCTTATCAGGGCATATGAGCACAAGCTCCAGCCTCGGTGTTGATCCATGACTTGGTTCGAAAGGTGCCTTTGGTTATGCAGTGATTGCGGTGGTGATATGCTCGCGTGGCACAGATCTAAGTTTGTTCCTGACGTCTTCTACGACGAGCAGTGCCTGCCACCGTTGACCAGGCACTCAGGGGCGTGACCCACATACAAAGCTTTGCAGCCATGTCGAGTAGGTTCTTGCTTCACAACCTCGAGGCAAAATCGTGAACACCACCGACAGTAAGTTGTTTTCCTTTAGCTTTTTGAGCATGACTCCGAAATCTCCAACCTGATGGGTTCGCTGTCAAGTACGTGGAGCCCCTTTTCCATAAAAAGGACGCATACGACTCGAGGACTCCACAGCAAGACAGTAATCGTCATCCAGCCGCGATGGTCTAGTGGTATGATTCTCGCTTAGGGCTCACCCTGAGTTGTAGCCTGTGGGTTTAACACCCCTGGCATTACTAATATGCGAGAGGTCCCGGGTTCAATCCCCGGTTGCGGCCGTAATTTTTGGTGTTTTTACCGCGTTAGCTGGACAGTGGTGTAATAATGATGTAAATGGGTGTGAATTTTGTTACTTTTTTCTCTTTTGTTGTTCATGATCACGCGTGGTACATACAGATCGTTTAAAAGCGAGAGAAGTACGACTTCGGGGCGATAGTTCGTAATATTAAGGCAAGGAGAGATTGAACAGGCAAATAACAGGGAAAATATTACAACTGTTCAAACCGTTCGAAATAATGGCAAAGGCACTGTTTCACCGGAGTCCGCCCTATCGTTAACACTTCAGTTCCAGTTAATTCGTGATGAGGCCCTTCATTTCCTCCCTCTGTACCAATTCAGGCGATCTTGAGGAATCGGTCGATGTCGACTCTTTCGAAGAAGCTAATGTGACCAAAGCCAAGCCAGTACTGAGCCAGCCGGTTGTGGGATATAAGCAGGAGCCGAGATTCGATGAACTTGTCTGCAAGCACATGATCGGGGTCAGCTTCGGTAGTGTCAGGGTTCGTGCACTTGGAACTTACCATCTAAAAATCCCGATCCGGCAACGTGCCCCTGGCTCTTCACCATCCTGACCCCTTTGAATGGGTCCTCCTGCAGAACCTCGACGAGACCCTTGGGTCCCATGTCCTCTGCCACGAAAGTGTACTCGCCCCGAGGCACATTAGGATCCCCAGTCAGTTTGATTGCTTCAAGGCGGCCGCGGTATACCCTCGCGTCACGCCTGCGTGCCTCGAAATCTTCGTCCGTCTCGCCCGGCTCTCTGACAATATCGTCCTCGGGACGCTCGCCGTCCGCGTCGTCGTGTATTTGGTGCATGAGCAGGAACTCGCACCCATGGCCGCTGTAGTCTCCAACCCAGATACCGCGCCAGGGACAGTCTGCCGTCGGGGTGTAGAGCGCAGGGTCCAGAGTCGAGTAGCAAGTGGTCTCTTCGCCCAGATGCGTGCCGAACCGCATCCTGAGGAGAGCACCCATATCACCGGCATCATCCGGGGGTGGCGTGGCGGCTTCATCATCGCCATCTGCCAGTTCACGCCGTCGACGCAGCATTCCAGCCAGTGCAGGACGCATCTCAAGCCAAGTGCGTATCCGGAATCCCTGGTCCGAGATCTCGGACCGACAAGTGGGCAAGGTCTCCTCGAAGCTGTACTGGCCACGTCGCCGGCCCATATGACAGGAGGAGTCGGCAGCGGCGAAACGGTGGCGAGCGGGCACTCGCGGTGGCGGCCAGACGTTGGCATAAGGAAAGGGAAGCCGGTGTGTTTCTGTTGCCGCTTCCTCCGCCATTGGTTTCGAGAGGAAGAGGTTCCGGAACATGCCGTCAGTGCTACCCGGAGGTGTCATGGAAACATGCTCTGCGAAGCGGCTGCCCCGCACCGGCTTCTGGGCGTTAACACCTTGGGCTTTTGGCCGTAGCACTTGCAAGCCATGTGCGTGACGCTCCCAGCCGGGCCGTTGAGCACCGTCAGCCACATCGCTCGACACAGTCGCGGACCTCCCGGCATACGGGAGGTCCGCCGAGCACCGTAGATGTATGACAGGCCTGTCGAGATGCAGGTTTATCGTGGGCTCAAAGGAATGAATGATAACGTCGTTGTTGGCCTCCCAGTGTTTGTACGAAGTCTCACTGCTGACGGCCAGCAGCTGGTAGCCCTCGATGCAGCCTCGCCTCTGATCATAGCGCACCAGGATTAGCTTCCCCGTCAGGTCGTGGCCCGAAAACCAGATCTTGTACTTGGGGAGAAACCAGCGTGGATCGTGTGCCACCCATAGGTCTCTGAAAGACTCGCACGGGTACGGCGTGGTCACTTTTCCCCCAGGGACGTGGGCTTGGACCAGGGCCTGCCAGTGGAAATCCGAGGTCGCGCGTGTGTGCAAGATGCGGCAGGTTTGGCTGGTGGCGGAGAGGTCAACGGGGGACAGGTAGGATAGTATATTGTCGAGGAGCTCGGCTGGCAGCTCTGTGAGAAGGCATGCCGTAGTAGCCGTGGTGGCCGCAGTGGTTTGCAGATCTGGCCCGTAAGCAACTACAATCAGCACATGTCGACTCACCGCGGCTAGGCAACGAGGAGGGCAAGGGCTAGGGCACAGACCAGTTGTCGAGCCAGTGTGGCAGGGATAGTAGTCGTCGGAACCTTGAAGAGCCTGATAGCTTAGTAGACCGTCGCTAGGTACAGCGTCGAGCATGGGCAGGATGCTCTCATCTTCGGCGTCCATTCTTCCAAACTTGACGATCGAGCCGGATGGATTTGCGGTAACGCTAGGGGTTGAGGTCTGGGGAAGCTCCCTGAAGGCTGAGGCGAGAGTTTCGGGCTGTTTTCCTTTGTCCATAACAGCGGATGGAACGCAGTGGCGGGGCACGTAGGGCTGAGGCGCGATCACTTCCGGGCGGGTGTATCGATGGAGGTAGCAAAGGAGCAGAATGACGGCGTGGCTGATAGCGGCGCGTCCATTCGCTCCGCAGCGAAGCCCGTACGAACTTTGGCGACGGGAATGATAGTTGAAAGACGTCGTCGTCACCCACCGAGTGCGTGCATTAAATAAACTTGGGCCGGGTGGGTCTCATCCGAGGTGAAGGTCGACTGCAGGCGGGAGGGCGGAAACCTCACGAGGTCGAGGTGGGATGGATGGGAGCTACGGCATGCCCACATACATATAACCGAATTTTGTGGCTGAATGGCCTGTGATGCAGAGCGGCAGACGAACAGGACCTTGATCGAGTTGTCATGCCCAGGGCCTTCGTTCCAGGTTCGTTGTTGGAGCTTGGAGCTCCGGTTGCGGGATGTCGTATCCCTGCCACAGCAATAGTCGTCGGGGAATAAAACAAGGGTGGGTGTCAGTGGTGAGTGGGCTGTCACGCTGTCCAGCAAGGTGCGTGGGTGCATGGGCGCCGGAAATCATGTCGCGCCAGTGGCACCCGAGCCTAGCGGGTGCCAAGACCTGACGCCCTTTCCCCCACACCACACCGACGAGGCCTAGGGCGGGGGTTATATTGCGAGGGCACCATCAAGCTCCTAGTCCCGCGGGCGACGCCTATAGCCGTCAAAGACGACGGGACGGGACTGGGCTAGAGAGCTTGTGCCTTGTCTCTTGTAGATTGATTTACCTGTTAATAACTGCTCCAGATTGCCTGCATTCAGGGCGTCCGCATGCCTGTCTATCTGGGATGTATCTGGGATGTATCTGGGATGCAGGACCGCCTGGCCGCGGATGAATCCAAGTGGATTATGGCTGCTATCACTATCAGTGAGGTCCATAAGGTAAGGCCAAGTCGCCAATCCCGGCGTCTTTAACTGTTCAATCGAACGAAACGTTTTAACAGACAAGTTGACTCGTAGTCACGCCGTCGCGCAATCGTGCCACCTTCCCAAATACCGCCGCCACCTTGCAGAACAACCGTCTTCATAACATGGACCAAATAAGTCACTACCGCAGCGATTACTGTGTAAACGAACGAACAAAACAAGCAGACGAACAGCACGACCTCAAGCCATCCATAGGTAGCCATATCTGCAGCTTGAATCCGCACCCTCTCTAGGAAGGTCCATCCACGGATCTCAACCCGAGGGTCATGCTCGCGAATCATGACGATCAGAAAGCAGCTTCCTTTTCTAGCCAGTGTGGCCGCCCGGCTTGGTCAACTCGGCAGTCACAGCGATGAACTGCAGCTGCCGGATTTGCAAGCACTGGACCCGCTCGGATCGTCACCCCCACTCTGGAGACTCTCCAAGCTCTCGACAGGGTGCTGGCTGCTTCTCCAACTTCCCCATCCCGCTCTTTTTTTTTGCCAAGTGCAATTTGGGGAGGGCGGGAAAGTCCCCATTGTATGTGTGCTGCCGTCTTGGTTCTAGGGAGTAATCACCCAAGGCGCGAAGTCACCCCGTGCTCTTCATGGCAGGAGGCGACTGCGCGGGCATGGGCAAACGAACAGGAGCCAGCACCGTCTTGCGATGTGGGAACAAGCTCGATCGGCTGATGGCAGCCCAGTGACGCTGCTTCCAGCTGGCTCAAGTCTTAGCGAGCTGCACAGGCAACCAATCAAGACCATGTTCGAGGGGCGCCGCGCCAGGGAGAGCGCCAAAACATCAACTACCAAAATCTGCAGGCCTCACCGTGTGGCCCACCCACGAACTGACACGACACCCAGCTGGCACGCACACCCGGGAAGCCACCCCGACGTGCCCGATCGTAGGCCAGAACAAGAGCCACGGCATCCGCTGTCTCTTCTCTCCTTGCGCGGGTCCAGTCATCTCACAGACTCACTGCAACTTGCAGAGCCAGATCCTTCCAGGCCCTCGCCCGCCGATCTGGACTGCACCCCTGCACCTTGGCTTGGTGCTGCTCGCCGCTTCAACCAACTTGCAGCCCGTGTCAGAGCATCAAAATCTCCTTCCTCGTTGGGAGTTAGCGACTCCTAGGCTTCTCCGACTCCAACGCTACCCTGCGAGTCGCAAATCACAGGGCGGGCATTTCTGGCTAGGCACCGAACTCGGACCTTCTAAAAAAAAACAAGATAGACGGAACGAGCAAGGGAAAAAGCCAAAAATCAAAAAAGAACCAAGCCCCGTCACGCGCTACCTGCCCATCTTGAGAGCCAAGAGATCAACCTGCCAGGAATACGGCATCAGGAAGAGGGGGCTCGCAGTAGCACACCAGCACCCCGCAATGGCGTCTTTGCTGCCGCTGATACAGGACCTCCTCCCCATGATCCTGCCCACGCAAATACACATCACGCGGGGGAGGGACCTGGCCCCGGAGCGCGCCCCGGCCACAGGTTCGTCGCCAGAACCAAGGCTGGACCTGCCCGACGTCGCCTCGGGGCCTTCAGATAAAACTGCTGTTTCTTCAACACCCGATGGAGGTGCGGGCGAGGACAAGAACAGAGCCCTCGGGGCTATTTCTGATGTTGCTGCTGCCCTCACTGGGGCAACTGCCGCCGCTGGGCCCCATGGGGAGCTTCTAAGAACGGCGGCGGGGAAGGGGGTGGTGCGGAGAGACGCGATCGTCAACAAGACGGATCGGATGTGTGCTTCAGGTAAGTCACACCAGTAACCCTCCCTCTTCGCCCCCTCCCGCTTCCCCTCTTCTGCTCGGCCTCACATGAAGCCGTATGTATGTCTAGCACACTCTTTGGTTCATGCAAACCGGTATGGCGAGCACCCAATTTGTTGCCCAGGTGCGCCATTCCTGCAGGCAGCCTCTACGTGATTGGGGCGCGGTGATAGAGGCAATGTACTGGTACGGTGATATTCATTCCACACAGTGCTGTTTGCAGGTCCCAGGTCCTCATCCTCTGTGCATCACAACAGCGAGCATGGTGAGTCGATCCGATGCCCTCCCTGTCTGACGGATAGTACACACACAGAGATGCACCTAAGCCCTCCTTGACTTCACTCGATATGATTGATTGAAAGGGCACAAACGGGACTCTGACACCTCATGATCTGTCACATGAAAAAGACTCCATCATATACGCGGCCTCAGGGCGAGGCATTCTAGCTACCAGTCCAGCAGAGGACGATGGGCCCCCGAGGCGCAACGAACTAGAGCCCGGAGACTTTGTCTTCGTTCCTGCTTGGACCGAGCACCAGCTCATCAACGACACGGACGAGCAGGTGACCTGGGTCGTGATACAAGGCGGGCCGTCTCCGATAGTCGTCGACCTTGAGGAGTGGGGCGGAGACGAAGTCAAGCCGGAGCGGAATCGATGACCTGGCGTGGCACAGTGCCTAGCTGCTGAATGGGTGCCCAGGGTTTGTGCGACCGGCATGCAGTGGACAGGAGCGGGAAGAGGCAATAAAACACGCTATCGTAACATCCTATCCTCACTGTCAAAGGCCTTGGCGGGTAGGGAGCTACGGGCCGCCTGACTGTCTTTGGGCTAAAGATGGTTGGTCATGCGGGCATTTCATGCAAACCTTGCTGGGGCGTTGGGCAAGCATATGCGGGATGACTCGGCGAGCCTTATCTTCATCGACCCGACCACGAGTGGCACAGGCGGATGGGGATGCTGACAAGGCGGGCTGGCAGCGGTTTCCAGTCTTGGGTCGCTTCCATATATCACCCACGGGGATCCAATGTTATGCAAGGCGATGTCCCATTACGAAGAAGAAAAAAAAGACCTCGGCAGAGGGTGCGACTAGTCCCTGCAATACCTCCTCACCACGTGGACTACGCGCCTCCGCTCCGCATCCTTATCGAAGACCTGCGCGTGATCAAGCGTGGGGAAGTAGAGCATCTCAATCCCCGACCTCGTCGTGTAGCCTCCCGTCCCATCGCCCTCCTCGCCGGTTGCGGCGGGCGGCAGAAGTCCACTGGGCGCCACTGGGCCATCTCGCGAGCCCGCCCGCCCGGCTCGGATTTCCGAGTGGCCCGATGTTGTGGGTCGCCCTTTGCCTCCATCGCGGAGGAGGTACTCGGCGACCCGCCTCGCATCGAGTATTATGTCCCATCCGGCAAGCGACACAGCGACCTTCCGCTTTCGGACACGCGCAGGAGGAGCGGCACCCACAGGGCCGGTGATATCAACTCCACGGGCCACGGGCCCGCAGGAATAATCGGTTGCCCAGCCAGTCCGCGGCGGGTTCTGCTGCTGCAATTTGGCGTTGTTGGCAGTAGGAGCAGCAGCAGCATGTGCATGTGCATATGTATCCTCAGCCGCGTCTGCTCTCCCGCCTCTCCAAGCCCGCCACAGGAGCTCCTCCTTCCAGATGGCGTTGTGCTGCCAGAAAAAGTACCGCGCCAGCGTCAGGGCGGTGCTTGGGTCCATGCTGGCAAAGAACCAGAGCTGCCACTCGTTGGCGCGGCGGGGGAGGCGCCGGGTGAAGTTGAAGGCCACCTCGGGCATGTGCAGCAGCAGGGAGACGGGGTCGATGAGCACGGCGGCTGACACTTGAGCGCCGAGCTCCATGTCCCGCAGGATGTGTGTCGTCAGGACGGAGCCGTACGAGTGCGAGACCAGCACAAACCCATCATCATCATTACCATCACCATCAGCATTGCCAGCATCAGCCACATCCCGCGTGGTCCAGCCGTGGTGCCCCAGGATATCAGACACGCTCTTGAGGAATGTCTCCTTATCTAAGGGTGCCCCGGCGTATCGCATTGAAATGGGGAGGATCTCGAGAGCGATGATGCCTACTTGGCCGTCATCGCTAGCGTTCGTGTCTCGGGCCGCCACCTCGAACATAAATTTCATGTACGGCAAAAGGCCGATGCCAATGCCATGAATGAACAACACGGGCTTTCTGGTCTGCGACATGTGCGGGCGGTGCCAGTACGCCATCGACGCCGAGGGAGAGGGGCCGCGAGGCACAAGGGCTTTTGGCAGCCACAGTTGTGGCCGTGGAGGCAGGACGTGCAGGGCGCCCGCCATTGGAGGAGCATGGTACTTGAAACCCATGGAAGTGAGCGTGAGGTGGGTGAAGATATCGACAGCCATGACGATGAGATACCAGATAAAACTGCGGAAGCGCATATGGACCTCGTCGACGCTGAGGCGGAGCGATCTCACTGGCCCGTGGCCCGGGAGCAGGCCGACCCCGTCGCTCGATGCAGCAGCGCGCAGGCGACCGTCGATCTCGTCCAGGTAGCCCTGCAGCTCCGCCTCCTCGTCCTGATCTAGCAGCAGGCCAGATTCGACGGTTGCCGAGACAGCCGACGAGTCGCGGTCGAAAAAGGCCCAGGCCAGGAACTCGTGGACGTTGTCGCGGCGGATGTCACGTATCTCGGCGCCTAGAAACCAGCCGCGCAAGTACGTCTCGCAGTCGGGGACGTTTTCGAAGCAAGTATCGAAAAGCTTTCGTCTCTGGAGCGGGGACATGGGTGGCGGGTACGAGGCTACCAGCCGCTCCGCGCGCCTCCTATAAGGCAGGTAGACGACCAGGGCGAAGGCCGAGTCGAAGGCGACGACGGCGGCGATGGTCGCAGCGAGTACCCGCGCGAACGACGACGGACCGGGCCCGGTTCCCGGCCACAGCCACCACGAGACGACGCCCGTGGTGCATTGCAGTGCGACGAGGAGGGCCAGGCCGACGGGAATGGAGTAGTGCAGAAGGAATATGGCGATACGGGTGAAGGCAAACTCGGCGAGCGAGTCGCCAATCATGACGGGCCCCCTAATGCGCGTCCCACCCTGCGTGGTGGGGGCTAGGACAAGAAGAGTTTGAGGCTACTGTCACGGCGGGCTGGAATGTTCTGCCTGCAGGAGATTGTGACGGGCGATGGATTGAATTTGATGCTTATTTTGACGACAGGGAGCAATCTCATTTCCTTCAAGGACACCATTGTGAGGATGCCCAAAAAGAAGAGGGCAGGCAGATGATCTAGGTGTCTGGGATTGGGTCAAATGACCCCATCTCCAGCATCAGTTCCATCCCAAGTTGGGAATCCCAACACAGCCCAATCCCAAATCGTTGGGCTTAGTGATCTTCCCCCGCCCCTGGTTTCTTTCTTGGGTCAAGAATCCACACACGGCGGCAGTTATGCAGAAGAGCTCACTGTGCTGACTGGAAGAGATAGACGGAGGGGAATCCGTCAACATTCCTGTTCAATGGCCGACATGTGATTTAATCCGTTGTCGGGCGCTTTGGGTCGGTCTGTGTGACAAATGCCAGCCTGTCGCCACTGCAGCCCAAAGGAGAGGCGTCGAGGGGGTACGGCTGCGCTAGAGTCACAAATGCCCTACGTCATTACAAGGAAATCATCTCAACAAAGCGCGACAAGCAACCACGGCTCACTTGGGCAGGGGCGCCGTCTTCGAGATTATGGCTTCGACAGCATAGGAAGAAATCGCCAAGCTCTAGTTTGTTTCTTCCAATAACAGGTTGACGACTGAAATGATATCGCCAGTGTATGGTTTCAGGACGTATTTTTAACAAACCCTGTCTCTCCGTTACCCCATACACCGCCTCGCTCGTCCTTGCAAACACCACTGTCAAAGCGACACTGAAGTAAAAAGCCACGCGCAGCCCTCTCTGTTTGAGCCCGACCAAACAGAAAAAAAGCTTCATCCCGGAAAGCTTTCTCCAGCCTGATTCTTAGATTCTTAGATTCTTAGATTCTAGATTAACGAAACATCGCCATTTCCGACACAAAATCAAATTTCACTCACCCAAAAGCAATCGCAGAGTCAGTCGGATTTCGGGGCTGATCACCTCGGCTGGCAACGTGCCCCTCACGTGCCCAAACGAAAAAAAAAAAAAAGAAGAGCCAAGACCCAACAGCCAAACCCAGCAGTCGCCGCCCGCCATGGCGCACAACTACATGATCCGCGTGACTGCCGGCACCGTCCGTGACGTCAAGGAGCATGTCGTCGTGCCCGTCAACACGGCGGATCCCTTGGACATCTCCAACGACCTCGTCGACGCGCGCCTGAGCGTACGCGTCAAGAACTACGGCGGCCTGCCCCACGGCTCGCCCGCCGACTCGCCCTACTTCACCGCCGAGCCGCACGCCTACAACAACGACCAGTACAGCATCGCCCTCAGCTTCAAGCTCAAGCGGCCGCCCAGCCCCGCCGTCGACGCCGACGCCAAGGACGGCGATGACGACGCAGGCCCGGCCGCGGACGGCGGCGACCCCGCGGACGACGACGTCGGCGTCTCGGGCGCGGACCTGCAGTGGGGCAACGACTTCGACCACCCGATCCGCGACCGCCTCCCGCCCGGCTTCAGCACCGCCATGAGCATCGTGCGCTGGTGGATCGACCCGGGCCTCGACGGCGACGCGTATGCCGACTCGCCCTTCCTCTACGGCCCGGCCCTGTCGTCCTTCAACGCCGTGCGCGCCGGCCCGCCCGCCACGGACCGCGTCCCCGGGGCCGACGGCGACGGCGCCAGGGTCGGCGTCTGGGTCGACGAGGGCGGCGACGAGCGGGGCCTCGAGGCCCGCAGGTCCCTGGGCGCCCCCGATGACGCAAAGGGCCGCATGAAGTGGGCCCTCAAGGCCGACAGCAAGGAGAAGTGGCTGTGGGAGTACGGCAAGGAGTACTCGGTCGACTTCTACAACCCTTACCTCGACTTCAACGAGTTTGCGCTCAGGCTGCCTGGTTTTACCCTGCCCATTATGAAGTACTGGGACGGCCAGGGGTTACGGTGAGTCTTTTATCCCTTGCCTCCATTTGCGCTCTTTGCATCTGGTCTCCGGATCCTGCATACCATCCGCCAAGTGGCAGGTGGTATTCTAGCTCTGGGACTTTCAAATATCTTTCATGGTTTTCGGCGTTGATTTCTCATTACGTGATGGACATGCAAAAATCTCCCTGGGATATTTCGCGCGCGTTTTAATCCCACCTAGGCCCCCGAAGCGCTCACATACGCTTAGGTACGTGCTGCGGAACCGCAAGACGGGCGACCTCTACCTGGCCGTCACCTTCAGCCTGTACCTGAAGGAGGACGTCAACGAAGACGGCTCGCTCAAGCCGGGCACCATCGAGGCCCAGCAGAAGGACAGCCGGACCAGGCTGCCGCCGGGCGGCGCCGAAGAGGATGGCGCCGACAAGCCGGTGGTGGACGAGGACAAGGCACTGGAAGAGGCCAGGAAAAAGCTGGGCGATGTCCAGATCGACAAGAAGGACAAGGCCGGCTCGGACGATGTCGACTAACGTGGCCTTTGGTGCGCCCCGGTTGGGTTAGGACATGGCCGTTTTGATATCGCTTTTTGCCATGCATTGCGTAGGCATTTGGGTAGATGGACCTGTACGCTAGAGGCTAGAAATGCAGGATACAAGATCTTTCTGAGGATACGGTCGAGACTTGGCATTCGCCAGGCCTCCCTGAAAAGCGCCGTCCAACATGGCGTCAAAGGAAACCGTACCCATCATGCGACGCTGCTTGCCCCGCGGTCAGGCCCAACATGAACGTTGGGCCCTGCGTGTGAGTCTGGCAGGAGCGGCTTGCAACCCAGTCAGCCAGTCGGCCACTGGAAAGCCGTGCGACCTTCACACCTCGAAGAGCCAACCTCTTTCCGGAGGCGTGTGCTCTACCTCGTGCCCAGCCGGTTTTATCAGGTCTTTTTCTCTCTAGATGCCATTCATTCGTTACCCGGTTATAAGCTTGCCCTGCTTGATATGATTAGGATATCTTCCCCTTTCGATTCACTTTCTTTTCCTTACTATTCTTTCGATTCACTCCCTTTTCCTTGCTATTCTTTCGATTCATTTTCTTTTCCTTGCTACCCCCCGCCAACCTCGTCGAGGCTTTCAACGCTGCGCGAGTGTCCCTCAGCATAGCACGGGTGCGAAGAGCGGAGGGAAAGAGAATGCTGATGCCGGATACAGGGGAGGAGGAGGTCGCTATTGATGGGCTATGTGTCTCTCGCTGTCCACGCTCCCATTCTCTGCTATAATTTCGGCAATTAGTCGCCTAGTAGTTTCCGCCATGTCACGCGGTCGCGTCGTGGCTTCGCCCAGTTCTTTGAATCTAGTCAGCAATGCTTCGCTTTCACGGCTCACGACCGTGCCATGCTCGGGGGCATTGCCTGAATGGCCCCGTCGTCCGCGCCAGCCCTTATTTTGTCGTCGTCGTGATTCTTGCTGTCCTGGTCGGTGAGGTTTTTAGTCAAGGCAAAGAGCGGATAGCTGCTCATGGTGGCGTCTGATGTGGCGCTGGTGCTCCTCCTTTGACCGTTGCACTTCCCTGTCGCCGCAGAACGGGCATGGGATCTCAGTGGCGATGTCGAGTGGTCGTGAGGCAAGCCGGACCATTAAGTCAATTTCGCCTTGCGCTAAGGAGCACGCATGATGCCAGGTCAAGTGACTGCTGCAGAGAGAGGCGGATCTGAAGATGGATGTGCAGCCCAACGGGCACGGATAGACGTGCCAATGGGTCCTCTCGAGGTGCTGCAGCCACTCGTGCCTCCGCGAGGTGCGGTCGGTTGCCGTGATCTTCACGAGGCACAGGGTGCACCGGAACGGATCGGCCTGGGCCTCCTCAGGCATCGAAGGGATTTGGAGCGCGTCCGAACAGGCCACTGATGCCGCATGCGAGGTCTGGGATGCTCCAGTTTCCGAACCCCCGTCCTCGAAAACGGCCGGCTCGGCCGGTGGCTCGATCGTCGGAAACTCGGACTGGATGTGCTGGGTGTCTGATGGTTCAGAATGGGAAGCGTCAGCCGGGTATGTCGCGTCGGGCAGGAAACCCGGCGCCAGGCTCTCAAGAGTTCTGTTGAGCTCGACCAGAGAGTCAACCATATGTTCGACGCCATCGATGGCGATTTGGCCCAGCTCCGTGATTGGGAGACCGCTATCGGGGTCCAGCACTTCGTCTTCGAGCTGGTCCCAGGGAGTTGCCTCTCCCGTGGCGATCGCTCTGGCTTCTTCCAGAAAATCAACCAGCTTCGCCAGGAGCTTAACCTCCAAATTCTTCATCCGGGAAGCGTTTCGAAGGCGATGGTCGAGAGAGCTGGTGTCGGTTTTCTGCGCGCCTATGTCGTTAGCCCATGCAATGAACTTTGACTGTGCATCCTTGATCCGCGGAAGGATCCACGACTGACCGAAGTTGAGCTTGTCATTTGGTTCAACAAGGACACGGAAGGCAGCGAGAGCGCGTCCGACATGGTCCGCGATGGTGTCGGACATGGTGGCAAGCTCGTGGAGGTCTCTGGCGTCTCTGGGGGACACACTCAGGGGGTAGGCAAAGCGTGTTATCCTCTGGATAGCTCGAAGCACCCACGATACCGCCGCTTGTTGATCGCAGCAAACGGGGGCTCAAAAGTTGGCCGCAGCAGTCGGGGGCTTAAGTCGGTCGCAGCAAACGGGGGCTTAAGCTGGCCGCAGATGCGGGCTTGACTATGCAAAAGCCGAAGGAGGGGGAATGCCGTAAGTTCTTCTCCCCCTTATCAAATTTATACAAACATCCTCCCTATAAAATATTAGCCTTAAATTCTTATACAAAAACTACCTTTGGTTCATTACTTCTTTATTCATTATTGTCTTCTTTATTTTCTTCTTTTTTATTTTCTTTTTCTTTATTCCATATTTGTTAAGCTTAGGAAGAATGAGGCTAAAGCGGAGCAGATGATTACAATTCCGCACTTGACAATTACGGGATCGTTGGGCTATACTTAGCATCGTGTCACGGGCCTGAGGCCCTCGCGGATAAATTAGAAAAAGGAGCACCTCTCTTTGCTGGAAGCGGGTTTGGAGTACCATCCGCCGGATAAGGGCAATAAGTATGGGGCGGCATGAACAGGATGTCCTGTGGGTTTGCAGCCTGCCCTGCAGGGTCTTTCTTTTTGGTCCTTTATCCCTACCGTTACTACCTCCTACCCTTTGTTTTTGTTGTTCCCCTATATTATCGTAACACATCGCCTGCTTTCCCCTTGTTTAATATGTATCTCCCTCCTTCGTATACGAATCTACAGTTATCCCTCACGTTAGAGAAACCAATTTCGTTTACCATTTTAAAAGTATTTTTAAATAAGAACCGGTGTGCACAACTGTTACCAACATTATTCCTTTTTCTTTATTCTTGATATATCCTAAAACTTGCCCCTACTGTGAAAGCAGTTGCCGGGGCAGGTAAAGGTAAGTAAAGTGATGGCGTTCGAAGAGGACCCAGGCCCGAGGCCGGCCTAGAAGAAGCCCGATATCTATCTGTTGCCCGGGCCTGTGACAATTTCCTCTCTTCTTTATGTTCTTGAGAAGGACTGTCACCCGCACTAGCGATTCTGATCCTCAAAACCTGTATACAAACCCCGATCATTCAAGAGCCGATCTTGTGCGCCAGGGATCGGCGGGACAGTGGTTGTGTGCTCTCAGTCCGACCTCCGGTCCCTCCGCCCTCCGACTTGGCCAGGTGCGAGCATTCCTTGTTCGGACTGCCTAGCCCCTTGGACCCGCTATACACCCTCGAGTTCCTTTTCCAGCGGCGCCACGACCTTTCTGTAAAACTTTTGGCAAAAGTCCTCGTTCTCGAACCCTTGCTCAGTCTCGTGTAGCTCCCCGTCCAAGCACCGCGACACGGCACTTCGGTAGTCCCCGCTCGGGGAACGTGGCCATTTCCAGAGCCCGCTGCGCCGTGCAATAGTCGGAATAGTTGTTGCGCCCCATGGCGGCGGCTACCGTGGACTCGGCGGCCTGCGCCGGCGCCCGGAACGACTCCAGTTTCTCTCCGAGGAGGAGCTCCAGGAGCAGGTAGCCCAGCGACAGTAGCACCGGGTTCTATCCGACAACAACTGCCGCCGGGGCCGGCGTGGCCGGTGTGGCCGTCGTCGGAACCGCGCGGCCGGTGGAGTTGCTTGGGAGGGACTGTACCAGGATAGGGTCGCCGCAAGAGAGGACAAGCCCGGTCCCCGCGTCGACGCAAAGGTGAACGTTTTCGCTGGTGAGCGTCTGCGGTAGCCAGGGGCTGCCGTGGAGCTGGGCCACACTCGACGAGACAATGACGGCGATGCGGAAGCGCGCTCGCAGGCTGAGGGGCAACGGGCCCTCGCCTTGAAGGGCAGCTCGCAGGGAGACGGTCTTCCAGGCGCAGAAACCGGCTGCCGTGGTTGGGCTGACGACGTATCTCCTCGAGGGTCGATAATCGTGCCGTAGGACTGTCTCGTCAGGGCCATGGACTGGCCCCTTTGGGCAGCTTGGAGGTCCCTACACAACGCCAAGCTCGGTTCAACGGGTGGGCGGATGGGGGGCAGACCGGGGACCGTTATTGCATGGGCAATAGCGCTGGGTGGCACTCCCAGGGCCGAGTATAAAGTGCTGAGGCCGATCATTTCCCGTATGGACTTTTCACGGCTCGACGCAGCGGCGGTGGCGCCACTCGTTGCCTTCGAGGCCACCATGGACTTGAAGGCGAGCACATCCTTCCATGGCGACTCTTTGCCCTCATCGCCGCATGAGACGGCAATCCGGAATTCCAGCTGGCTTGCGACGCCGTCATCATTATCGTGAGGTGCTATGATGGTCTTCCTTGTCTCCAGCCTCAACCCGATCTCGTGGCGACCACAGCAACTCGACAGGCTGGAGTGAATGGCTCGGTATAGACTCTTGGTCAGGGTTTGAGACTTGACACAAAACTTCCCTTCATAGCGCACTCGGCGTGACTGCTCCTGCTTGAGAGCTTGTTGAGTGATCGTCTCGAGGTTTGCAATGTTGCTTTTGATGTCGGCCAGTAGCTCAGTGTTTTTGCCATGCTCCAAAGAGAACATGAATCGTCTCAGGAGAGATGGCTCCTTATCTTGTTGGGCATCCATCTTGGCCGCGAGGGCGTCGACCGACTGCTTGATGTTCTGGATGGCTTCGTGGAATACGCTATAGGATCTCCGGTCCCACAACCGCCGTTCGATCTTTCTTGCCGTCTCGCTGTCTCTCCACAGGGCCCGCACGGATCGCCGATCATAGCCTTTAACCGCGAAGGGGGGACCAAGCCGTCAAGGAGGCTCTCGAATACGTATTCGAGTTTACCCTGTTCGATGTTGAGGTCGCTGGTGAGGCGTAGTAGCTGCTTGTCATATCCTTTTGTCGAAACCCTTTCCCGGACGAACTCAATCGTAGTGATCAAGATCGGGAGAGTCCCAAGGATGATTCCGGCCACCTCGAAGCCCAACATGGTGGGAGGGAGCGCCAGAGTACTAAGAGCTGGCAGGACAGTATTGCAATGTAAAGGAAAGTTTGGTTTTGGTAGCCAAAAGCCACTCGGGGACTTTCCTCGTCGTTGTTGAGTGGCTGCTTGGTAAGAAGGCAGTTTGCATATGGCGGATAGAGTGGCGGCGTGGCGGGTGGTACTCAGCCGCACACCTAACTTGTCGTGGTTACACAGATATGGATAAACCGTTTCTATCTTTGTCCATAACATACCCTACCCGTACCATGCCGACGAAAGGGTTCGGATGACGTAGCCTGGTAACGGTGTCAACCTCTTGTTCACCATTAATAGAAATTCTTCGAGCCAACACATAAGAGTATCAAGCCCTTACGAACAGATCTAATCGTTGTAGCTCGTCAACATTGCTCATCTTACATGAACATCCTGGCTCCTTGCTCGTTCCGTAAGATGTCTAGGTAGATATCACAAAGAAACTCCTAGTCCTAGGGTGGGACACCTAGAAAATATGCCGAACACTATACTTTAATGTGGTGGTTGATTGCGGGTACTACCTAGCTACCGCCCACACGTACCTAGACATGCATTCATAGCAGTAGATCACATCCACATACATCATTCTACTCCTCCGCGTCGACTGCCGGCCCGTCAGTCATGTCGGGCATCCATCCCTTTGGCCGCTCGCTGCCGCGCACCTTGAGCTCGTACCCTAGCGCCTCGACCTTGCCCACCGACTGGCGCAGCGTCAACATCTTAATCTGGTAGGTCTTGTCGCGGCGCTGCGGGAGCATTTGGAACAGCGTCCCGAGCTCCTGCATGTCGGCCAGGATGTTCCTCCCACGCTCCTCGCCCGCGCCGCCGCCGTCGGGAGCGGCGGCAGGCTTGGCGGAGCTGGTGGCCAGCTCTCCGTTGAAGGCGGCCGTCGTGGTGGCAAAGCGCATCATCTCGCCCGAGAGGTCAAACACGCCCATGAGGAAGTCGTCTGCGGTCACGTCCACCACGAGCGGCTGCTTCTTCTCCGCCGACGCCTCCTCATCCTGCTTGGGGGCGGGAGCGGAGTCGTCGACGCCGGCCATAGCGGTGTCGCCGCCCTCGCGCTCCTTCGCCTTGGCCTTCTCCTCTGCCGCAGCAGCATCGGCACATAGCTGAGAGACGGCGTGGGCGGCCTCGCCGTGGCTCATCAGGCACTGGTGACGCAGGTAATGGGCAAAGGTCAGGGCCTCCACCAGCTCCTCGACGCAGGCCAGTTGACGGCCGTAGCGGTAGCGGTTCGCGCCTTGCACGTCTGCTGCGATGGAGGCGAACAGCCTAGCCACCTCGGCGAGGCGGGATTTCATGTCCGACTGGACATCGGCGGGGAGGTCATTGTGGATCTTGCGCACACTGAGGAGAGAGGGCAGGGGTAGGGAGTGGTTTAGCGAATTAGCAGTCTGCCGCGATTGAAACAGCAGCAGTGGCCCCCTGGTAGCTTAGCTAGCATTGTGGAGGCGGATAACTCGGATGCGCGGGAGAGGTTGCAAGGAGGGGGTCGTTTGCTCCTCACCGTTGAAGAGAGAAAATGCTAGCGTTGTCAAACCACGGTCAGCGGGCGATGGCAACGCAAGGGGGTGGTGAATAGGATAATCTATCTCACATCTTTTTGCTCAGTGCCGTGATGTCTCGTGACGCCTTGACGATCCTCTCGCGGCGGTCGTGGTGCTTGTCCAGCTCGTCGCGGAAGCCCTCAAACATGGGCGTGTAGGCATTGCGGACGACCTCCCTGGGCGGCTGCTTGGGGCCGCGGGGCTTGACGTCGCCTTGACGGTCTCTCTTCGGAGGCATTATCTCAAAGCGGCGACCTCGGACGATGGAGGAGGAAGTCGTGGTGGCGGGGGTCAGGTATTTCGGCTTGTGAGAGCTGCAACCCCATCCTGAAGCGAAAAGCACCCCTGTCATGCTATCATCACAACGGCTGCGGGGCAGGCTGCTCATTGGACGATCCCTTGATGATGCCCCCGCCACAGGTCCCCACCCGACCCATCGATCGTTTTTTTTTCGTCTATCATCCCGCGCGGAAAGGGGGCGACGGGAACTGCACATCTGCCGTGAAACTCGCAACAATCTCCCGCCGGCGCATCACCTACCACAGTTGGCGCGCCACACCGAAGGGGCCCTACCCGCCGACCACCGGTCAACATCATGCGGTGGGCAAGAGAGCGCCGAGGGGAGCCAACTATGCTTGGGGAGCGTCGGCTAACTCCTCGCCATCACGCAAGAGGGAGAGTCCACAGCCTGCCACCTCCCCAGTTGAGCAGCTACGAAACAGGGATCGGCCGAGGTCAGTCTCCGCTGGCCAGCAGGCGTGGAGATACTGTGCACAGAGCACTTACCTACCTAGGTAGCTGACGTGGAGATACTGTGCACAGAGCACTTACCTACCTAGGTAGCTGACGTGGAGATACTGTGCACAGAGCACTTACCTACCTAGGTAGCTGACGTACATCCTTACACCTTGCGTCTGCCGAGTCAAGTTGGCAGCTGCACGTACTGTACTTCCTTCCTCCATATTGCAGATCCCAGCGGTCTGGCTAGCCGCTAGGGAAAAGGCCGTTTGGTGGAACTTATTAGTCTTCCCTCAAAGCTTGTCCCCGGCCGGAGTGTCTGTTCTCGGCTGTCTGATTTCGCTGTCCGGCCAGTCCCACACCGAAAGCGGACTGGGCTGTGCTGCTATTGCAATGCGACTCTGACAAGCAGGCATGGCCAGTCCCACCCGCGCGCCGACGACCTGCTCGGTGCGATACCAACACGTCAATACCAAGGCGGATGGAACGGAGATCAAATCACGCCTCTTGTCACTTTGCCCTTTTGTGGTGGGGAACCGATGCCCTGTTCCGCCTGACCAGAATATCCTGCCACCCGCACCCCCCCCCCTGGCCAGCATCCCCCGGCCTCCGCGTGTTCCCATCTCGTCATCCTGACGCGGTTCTGCCCTTTGAGAACTAGAAACCCTCGAGGCTGATTGATGACCGACCACTGCACTTGCAAACTCTGTGATAATGGAGTAGGTATGCTTCCGCTTTTCTCGATGTGGGCAACAGGGCACATATTGCCTGCAGCTACGTGACTACCCAGAAAGGAAACCCACAAGTCGGAGCCCGGTACCAACTGTCAACCTACCCAAGTGGGCTTGTGTGCAGACGACGCTACGACGCTACCTTCCATCCTGAGCAGATGCAGGAGAAAGCGGTAAACGGGATGGCGCCGTTCATGCGTTTGTGTAGCATCACAACGGCCTTGGTTGTCCATCACGTCCCCACACATCGTCCACGACCATGATTATAAAAGCAGGTCTTTCGTGACCTCCAGCGTCCAGTATCACTTCTTTGCCTCATCATCAGCAGCATCTCGAGCAACTCCTTGGATATATCATCACTCCAGCCCGCCTCGATCCTCTCACTTGCCTTCTATCCTCATCTCTACCTACCGCCATCCATTACCCACCCACACAAACCACCCAGGCAGCTAAAATGCGTGCCTCCTTCACCGCGGCACTCTCCCTCTTCCTCGGCGTCCAGAGCGTCGCCGCCGTCGCGGAGCTCTTCAGCGTGACCTGCAGCGACCTCTCCCTCGACGGCACCGTCCTCAAGGCCCAGTGCAAAAAGGAAGACAGCACCCGTGCCCCGGCCAGCATGGACCTCAACGGGATCATTGAGATCAAGGATGCCAAGCTTGCGGTTAGTGAAGACTCTCCCCCCACATCCTCATGGCCCACAGCATCACAAAACTAACCGGCGGATTCTTTTTTCCTCATTGCAATAGTGGAAGCAGGATGGTGCCGGCTACACCTCTGCGTGCTCATCCTGCGCTCTGTACAGAGACTACAACCCCCGCGAGACCAAGTACTGGGGATATCCATTCCTGCTGCGCCAGGCCATGAAGTGCTCCTGCTCGGGCGTTGAGCAAACCATCATTCTGGGTTCGTCGTCCCCACCCCAGTTTCTTCTTGCCTTGCCCCTTCCTACACAGACCAGGCACTGCCTGGCTCACCAGGTACATCTAGACTAACTCGGCGACTCGTGATACCCCATAGACGAGAAGATTGGAAATGACAATGGCAAGCTCTATGTCCAACTTTGGTAGATGGAGGGAAGTCTGCAAGGACATTCGTATTCTTCCCAGCTGTTTCTTTTCCCCTTTGGGTCGGGCGTTTTCATTCCCAGAAATCGTTGAGCATCTTCCTTTTTGCCATGCAGCATCCTTTTTTCTCCCCCAATAGTCACGCTCTTGGCATTGCCGCTCCAAGGGCATACCCTTGGATTGTTAATTTCTAACAATGTAAATACCCATGTTACAAACATATTTCCCATTTCGGCGTAAATGCACACCCACAAACCCCCAACCGTTCATATGTCAGTGACCAACGGTGAAAATAACGAGAGCTGAACAACGACCTGTTTACAAGCAGCGAACAAAAAGGACAACAAAAAAAAAACGCCAGAGTGTTTGTACCAAAGGCATTTCAGCAGGGATTGCTCCTCAATAACCAGCCTCACAAAATTTAAAAATAGCGAGCCCGGAATCAACGACCTGATGGGCAGGACAGCAGTGCGCGGTTCAAGCTACAGGACTATCGGATCAAATGGCCATTTGTTCCATAACCACACTATCGAACGGATGACAGTTAAGCACGAGTGTGCGATTGCGCGTGTACGAACAGGCGATCTGTGAGCTACAGCGGTCCGCCTCGAACAGTACCGCCTTGATCATGTCACGTTTGTGCAGACGATACAAGTCGACAGATATACCAGTCCCAGGAATGGAGTCCCTGGTCTGTCAGGCAGAGTCGGCGGTGCGGAGGTTTTGTGAGGCTGTTCCTGGTTGGCGAGCCATCTGGACAGCCACATGTATTTTGCAGCCCCGCCAGTGCCGAGGGTTGCCGTAGAAAATCCACGGCGGGCAGGTCGTGCATGCCTGTTATATAGATCCCCTGCATCTCCCTTTTGCAAATGCAAGGATTTGCACGCCTGCCAGCCGTGCTTCGCACGATTCGGACTTTTGCGCTTGGCGGGTAGAAGTCACCTCCAGGGATGTGGTCAGTATGAACTACCAGAACATGTCAGCTCTTTACCCCATTCTCTCATAACCTAACGCAATCCGAGGCCCGGAGCGAGGATATAAATTTTATGCTTTTTGCCATCGACATGGTACCAGGAAGGGAACGAGGGCTCAAGCGGAGTTGACCGCCACCCAAGGATCGAAAACATAGACACGATCCCAGGGCCCACAGCTCGCTCGCCATCCCTGGGAGGGTAAGATGTCGATCCGGATATTTACCAACCAGGTGTTGAAGACGTTGCCACTAGGCTAGACGCCTGTGGGCTTGCGGAAAATGGATGCAATGTGATAGATCGGATCCTAACCGCCTGCGGTTCCCCTGCCAACTTTGTGCTGCGCTGGCGGGGAGCGCCGATTGCCGTATCGGAGGCGTCAGCCTTGCAAACGCAGAATCACCGAGGCTAGCTCGTCGGCACTTGATGCGCCCTTGAGGGAATTATTGGTGTGTTTCTCCCGGCATGCCTTGGGCTTGGGGCTCTAACCCCGCTCCTAGCAGGGCTTGCGTGGGGGACGCAGGTGCTACCCACGGTCTCCCGAAAAAAGTCTGGACCGCAATTTTTTTCCCCACCCAAACTCAACCTCTCCCAAACACAATTGCACCAGCACCAAAGCCAAACAACATGCCGCGCACC